TTTCCCTGTTTATAGCTTGTCTTTTCGTTCTTTGAACAGTGACATTCATAAAACGAAAGTTTTAAAGTTTAATGCAGTCTAATTTTATATCTATGATCTAATTAGAGTTAATTGCATCAAATGAAAGGTTTAGGTTGAGGTGTATTTTTTCAACGTAGATGACCAGTTGCTGCAACATTTGCTGAAAAGGCTACCCTGTTCTATTGAACTGCTTTTGCATATTTATCAAAAAAATCAGATGACCATTTTTATGTGTGTATTTTTGAATTCTGTTTTCTGTTACATTGATCTACAAGTTCATCCCTTCACTAATTCCATATTGACATTATTACTGTAACTTCCTAGTAAGTATAGTAAGTCTTAAAATTGAGTGGTATGATTTATGCAGCTTTATTCTTTTTTAATGTTGTTTTAGCAATTTTAGGACCTTAGCTTTTCCACATACAATTTAAAATCAGCTGAGGTATGGCTAGAAAAAAATACTACTGGGATTTGAATTGTTACTACATTAAATCTACAGGTCAAAGTGTGAAGAACTGACATCTTTATCATGCGGAGACTTTTAATTCAAGAACACGATATGTTTTTACATTGTTTTTTAACATTTATCATCATTTTTTAGTTTCTAGCATATAGATCTTGTACATTTTTGTTAGATTTATACTTAAGTACTTTTATTTTTTCAGCAATTGTAAATGATATATATATATTTAAATTTTGGTACACAATTGTATATTGCTAGTATAATAAAATACAATTGACTTTTGTGATTTGACCTTATTCCAGCAACCTCGTTAAACTCTTTAGTTCTAGGATTTGTTTTTGATTCTCGATAATTTTTTTTTTATATAGACAATCATTTCATTGAGAACAAGGACTGTTTTATTTCCTCTTTTCTTAATTGATTTATTTTTTTTACCATACTGCGCTTATTGCTAAGACCTGCAAACCTATGTTGAACAGGAGTGATCAGAGTAGATTCCCTTGACCCTGATCTTACGGGCAAATCATTTGGTCTTTCACCACTAAATATGATGGTAGTTTTAGATTTGTTTGTAGATGTCTTTTATGGGGTTGAGAACTATCATTTCTTTTCTTACTTTTTTGACATTTAAAAAAATAATGAATGAATGTCATATTCAGTCAAATGCTTTCTTTGCATCTATTTATATAATCGTGTAGTTTTTCTTCTTTAGTCTATTTATATTGATGAGGTTTTCAAATATTGAACCAGAATTGAATTTCTGCGATAAAATCCCAAATAGTCATGTGTATTATTCTTTTTAATTACTGCTTGATTCATTTTGATAATATTTTGTCAAAAATTTTGTTTATGTTCATGAGGAATATTGGTCTGCAGTTTTTTTTCTCTTCCTTCTCTGCCTCTTCCTTTTTTCTTTTCACTTTTCCTTCTCCTAGTCCTTTTTCCTCTCCTCCCACTCTCTCTGTCAGGTTTTGTTATGAAGATAAATCTAGCTTCATAAAATAAATTAGAAAGAGGTCTTTCCTCTACTATTTCTGGAAGAAATTATGTATAATTGGTGATATTTTTTCATTAATGTTTGATAGACTTTTTCAGTGAAAACATCTGGACCTGCAGACATTTTCCCTAGAGGTTTTCAGTAAAAATTCAATCTCTTAGTTACAAGACTATCAGGGTATCTATAACTACTTCATCCTGGGTGAGTTTTGTTATTTTGTGTTTTTTGAAGAATTGGTTCATTATTCCCCTTTTTCTAGTTTATATATATAAGTAGTATTCTCTTCATATCCTATTAAGGTATGCAGGGTCTCTAAGCCATATCCCCTTTTTTATACCTGATCGTGATCATCTGTGCCTTCTTTTTCTGGTAGTCAGTTTTGCTTTATCAAGTTTATTCACCTTTTCAAAGATCTAGATTTTGGTTTCACTGACTTTCTGTATTGGTTTCTGGTTTTCGATTTCATTGATTTCTTTTCTTTCTTTCCTGTTTGATTTATGCTTTCTTTTTTTACTGGCTTCCTAAAGTTTAAGCTTAGATTATTAATTTTAAACTTTTTTCTTTTTTAATGTAATTATTTAATGATAAACTCTCCTTTTATCATTGGCTCAAGTGCACCACACAAATTTCCATGTGTTTTATTTTCATTTTCATTTAGTTAAAAAACTTTAATATTTGTTGAGACTTTCTATTTTGACCCATAGACTATTTAGAATTATGTTGTTTAATATCCAAATATGTGAAGATTTGCTTGACATATTTGCTATTAACTTCTTGTTTAATTCCATTATGGTCAGAGAACATATTTGTATAATTTCAATTATTTTAAATTTAAGGATGTTGTATGACTCAGGATATGTTCCATGTGCATGTGAAAAGAAAAACTATTCTGCTGTTTTGGGGTGGACTGTTCTGTAAATGTCATAACTGACCAATTGATCCAATTGGTTGATGGTGTTTTTCTTTTGCTTTAGTTTGCTTGTGGTTGAATTAGCCTCTTGAATTTATAGGTCTAAGTCTCTTGCCAAATTTGGGAAGTTTTCAACCATTATTTCTTCAAATGGTCGTTCAGCACTGTTCTCTTTCTCCTAGGGGTTCTGATGATATATACATATTAGAACTTCAATCATCTCACAGGCCCCTGAGGTTTTGTTCATGTTTTCTCTGTATTGTTCAGACTGGATATTTTTTCTATCGCTCTATCCTCAAGTTCACTGATTTATTTCAGTTTTCTCCTCCCCATTCTGCTATTGATTTCACCTAGCAAGATTTTAATTATGATTATTGTATACTTTGGTTCTAAAATTTCCATTTGTTTCTTCTTCATACTTTCTATTTCTTTCCTGACTCCTTATATTTTAACATTTGTTTTAAGAATATTCATATTGTCCATTTAAGCATTTTTAAAATAGCTATTTTGAAGTTTTTGGCATATAATCTCAATATCCATTTCATCTTATTGTTGGCATCTATTATTTTCCATGCAAGTTGAGATTTACATGGTTCTTTGTCTACCGAGTAATTCTGGCAATGGTGTTGAAAGAACATGTTTAGAGACATGTAATACTCAAAGAGTCTATAAATACTTGTGTCATGAGGCAAAAATAAATAAATAAAAAGCTAAAATCTGTCTTCTTGATGATTTACTAAAAATTCTTTTTTGGAAGATTGTACTTTAACAATTGAAACTACAACAACAGTCTATAGCCATGTCACCCTGAACAAGCCCGATCTTGTTTGATCTTGGAAGCTAAGCAAGGTCGGCCCTGGTTAGTACTTGGATGGGAGACCACGTAGGAAGACCAGGTGCTGTAGGTGTAAAAAATAAAAAATAAGGGATTGTAAGCTGACAAGGTCCTTGCAATCTGTGAGGTCAACCAATGGTTGGTTGCCTTGCCTAAAAATAAAAACAAAAAACTACAACAACAGTATCTTATTTATTAGGTCTCAATAATAAAATATGCATCATTAATTGTAGCATTAGAAAACACTGAATTCTCAAGACTACCTGAGACTTCAGTTTTTGTTTTAGCTTTATACCATGTTTCATATGTGCAGGACAATTTGAAAACAGTCAGTTAATATCATATAATTTGTTTTCATTATCAAGTATAATTATTTTATCTTCTAGTGGCACGATTATTTATCTTTAGCATAGTACTACATAAAAGCAAAGATGAAATTCTTCCCCTTTCAGAGAAGGTAAATAATAATTTCTTCTCCTCCCATAAGAGAACTACCAATTCTTCCCTTCTAAAGGGTGACTAGAAGCAGGAAGAGTGCACAGGGTATGAATGGCTTCTCTATAAATCTTGCTAACTCCCTTAAGACTTCCCCTGCATCTGTATAGTTAGAAATTGATACAAAGAACAGACTAGGCTTTTTATGACTACAAGGCATCCACAAATTTTGCTAGGATGATGGTGACAGTTCTGTAGGAGAAACAAGGCCTTCTACTTGCCCAAATGGAAAAAAAACCCAAAAACTAAGAAGAAGGAAACAACCAAAGAGAAAAAAAAAGAGAAATGACATAAAAGAAACGAAAGAAATAAAAGAAAGAAAGAAAGAAAGAAGGAAGGGAGGGGAAGATGGAAGGATGGGAGAAGGGAGGAAGAGAGTGGGGAAGAAGGAAGGGTGGTAGGGAAGAGGGGAGGGAGGAAGAAAGAAAGAAGTTGCCTCACAACTGACACGAACATGTCTTTCAATTGAGACACAAACATCTTTACGTTTATTGTGACCATGGCCATTTGGTTATGCAGTCTGAGGTCCAAATTCCAGTTCTGTCATTTCTAGTTCTGTTCTATGACCTTGTTCTCTGTACTGCTTCCTCGCCTTGAAGACAAGGGTTATAGCACCTCCCCTGCAGGATTTGTTCAGAGGTTCAATAATTATTTTAAAGGTTAAACCAAACAGAGTGCCTAGCACAGAGTTGACAATAAATAAATGATAGACTTCCTTCTTTTCTTCTTTCCAAGAAGCAACTCTATTTATTCTTAAATAAATTTATCACATTTAGAATTGCTTCAAGGAAGAATTCTAAATTTCCTATAATAACTAATTTCAATGTTACATATGAAAAAAGTCACAAAATCTAAGTGTACGTACATGAGTATGTCTACCTAAAAAGGTTTTGAGATTTACCAAAGTACTTTTTCTTGTTAGTCATTCTGATATATCGCAGTAATACTTACAGGTAAGATAAGATAAAAACAGCTCAAACAATGAAGAAATACCTAAATAAATCTGAACTACTTGACATTTTTGGGATGGATGGAACTGATAAGATTTTTAAATGAAATTAATGTATCTTTGGTAAATTGATTATTAAGAGACCTTTAGTACTGTTAAGTATTATTTAAAGTTTTACAACTTAATGAAGATATGAACTATTTGCTATATCCAGGAAAAAAACATAATTCTCACTGAATGAATTCCAATAAAATTAAGAACTTTTGCTTAACAATTTAGATGATGAACTAAAATTTTATATTTAAAAAAAGAGATAAATAATGTACTTACTTCTAAGGTTATGAAGTAACATATCTAGTAAAGTCATAAATTTTGAATATTGAATAATAGAAAAATCCATTTCTCTAGCCCACAAAAATCCAGATGTATAATAATCTAGGAGAATGGCTTCTTTTAAGCAGGTTTTAAGTTTTTTGAAATTCAAAAACGTTGCCAGTTTTCTGTAACAAAAAGAAACATCCATGTATTAAAATCAGATTAAATACTGAACAGATCCTTTTTTAAATTTTGAAAACAAAAATTTTTCTTGAATAAAAATTCTATAATGCCTATAATCTAAAAGTATCTATAGTTATATCTAAATCCTAAATCCAAAATGACATTCAAAAGAGAAACAGAGAAGAAAAAGAGAAAGAAAGAAAAAGAAAGAGAGAG